CTTCCATCCTCTCACGTCTGGCAGCAGGTATAGTGTCCCAAAGCCAGAAATATTGTATGTTGTCTCTGTGTGTGAGACAAGAGTGTGTGTGAAAGAGAGGCAGAGAAAGGGGGCAGGGGAGGATGCACGTGGTGAGCATTTGCTCCTATGACTTGGACGTTTAATTCCTCCGTCTGCCCAGGAGTTATTGCTAGAGTCACCTCGCTCCGTCCATAGTCCAAACAGTGATGGGGCTATCTGAAAGCTTCTCTTCAGTAGCCGACGAAATATCTACGAGGGCGCGGCTTTCTTTCTCAAACGATTGGTCGGCCTGGCACCCCGCTATCGAGGTGGCGCTAAAACAGAGGCCGGACTTTTCTTGTCCGGGGGGCAAAATGGCACCAGCTGTATTTACGGTCCCAACTGGAAGCTCCTTCCAGCCGACAGCGACGCTTAGCATTTTTATGAGAAGATACTTTGGTGAATGGAAAGCACCGAAAAGGCTGAGGTCTGGGAAAGAAGGAGCTGTATTTTCTCCAATGAGGAGGGCGTCCGATCTTGATCGAGCCTCCCATTCCCAAAATTAAATCCGATTTCCACAGTGCCCAGCCTGATCTCTTAAAAGTCCGTGGTTGCTCTCTGAAAACGGGCGCAGTATGAGCCTCTGAGCCTCAGCGGCTGGAGAGATCCCGAAGGGACTTTAAGATTTGGAAGAGGAAGGAGCAATACACCTTGGGAGACAGGGACAAGGGGAGGGGGAGGGGGAGAGCGCTAAGAAGTCTGATTATCCCAGCTTAGCCCTTCTGGCCAGTAATTCCACCCTTTACTCTTGTCACGAATCGAGGTAAGGCCGTTTTCATTTCAGTTTGCAAAAGACTGCCTGGGTTTTCTTCCATAATGCACCTTAGAGCTTATTGCCTCTTCTACCGACGAGGAAATTAAGGCCGAGTGAGGGATTTGCCGAGACAGCAATATTTTGTTTGTCACTGGGAGTTCGCCCAATGTCCGCTGGGTGCCTGAACCCCGGAGGCGGCTGTGAGCAAGAGTTAGGGTTGCTCTTGAATGACTCCACCTATCCGAATTCTTAAATTGTAGAAAAGAAAGTCGCTCGGTTTCGGACCGCTAGCACTACTCTGTTCCTTGGTGGAATGGGCTCAGAGAAGTTTTCGGAAAGGGAGACAAACCAAGCTTTCCTAGCCAGACGAAGTAAATCGGGCAACTGAAGCTTTCTGAGCTCCTCTTTTTGAAATCTCCTAGTGGGACAAAACTTGGAATCCCTCAAACGCTTTTTTTTCTCCCCGGTGTTTCTCCAGTGGTTTTAGGTAAGACAAAAAAGACAGATGTGCGTCTCTTGTTGCGCGCTTCTCACTCTGTGATGTTTGAAGCAGGTGAGCGTTTCTCTGCGCGCTCTCCTCCCCCCTCCCCGCCCTCCCAGAGCTGCTGGGAACTGGAAGCACTGGAAGCACTGGAACTGTGGTTCTTTTTCCGATCTGGTGAATGATTTACACACACACAAACAGACGCACACACAACCATGTCCCGGGTTAGGCTAGTATAATATCGTGCGTTGCGCCTTTATTCGAGGTTTTACAATATCAGCTTTAGCGAAAACTCTAAAAATGAATTTCGGGGATCTTTACTGGTAACCTCTACGGAGATCCTCAGTCATCCAGGTCATAGTTAAAGAAGAAGCTTCTCGGATGAGAAGCGAAACGTCTTCAAGGGAAAACAAGAATGTCCAGTTGCCTCGTGGAAAAGCATCTTTGGGATACTGGTAATCTCCCAAACCAGGAGTTTAAGTCGGCCAAGAAAACACGTGCGCGCCAGATGACCGCGCGCGCGCGGGCATTTAAGTTGAGTTGGATCAATTTAAAATTGGACGCTTTTGGCCGCATGTTCGGATTTTCCTAATGGTTAGAAATCACTTCCTTTTGGAGAAAACAGGCTGAATGGGGCTGCTAGGCGAGGTTTTGCCTTCACACTGCTCATAAAGTACAGACGCTTTGCGCGCCATAGCTATAGGCGCCTCTGAAGAAGAACGCGCGGAGGAGAAGAAGAAACGCGTCTTTTGTGCTTCTCTCTAGGCGCGGGGCGGGAGCTTTATGGTGTGTTTGGAAAATGTATGTATGGGCGTGTATCGCTACAGGGAGACAAGACGAGGCTTTTCCGGTTTGGAGTCAAGAATTTCAAGCCAGGTTCCCCACTTACATTTAAAAAACAAACAAACGTGGCCACTCAAAACAGGCATATAAGCGAAAAGAAAGGCACCTTTTACATTGTTAAGTTGCCCTATCAAGAGAACTCCGTTCCAGGGACATCCATGTACACAATCGACAGTTGTCCCCGGAGTCAAATCAAAATTGGGGGTGTTATTGTTTGAAGCCGGAATCTACTAACCTCCACTCCACCCTCTTGGGTGGGTGGCGTATAGGAAACACAACCGAAATGAAAAAGAATCGAAGCGATTCTGTCGGAGGTACACACACCACTTCCGCACATACCAGGACATTTTGCAAAGCGCGGCTTCTTTTCATATGCATGAACCAGGCATTTGTCTGGCGTACGTATGTAACCTCTAAATATACCTTGGGGAGCAAGCACTGAACGCCCCGGGCAGAGACGGAAAATGCATCTGGCTGAAAAATGACTAGTGGTTTGCAACTCCGTCCAATCAATCTATTTTACCTTCTCTGCTGCCAAGCGCTGCGAACGACCCGCAGCTCATATTTACCGGCCCCCTAAACGGGAATTTGAGTTGTCTTAAAGCCAGAACTTTAAAGAAGATGAGAGAAAGCCGGCGGTCCTGGCGGACAGTGGGGTTCCCGAAAGGAGTTGGAGAAGGAGCCGTTTTGGCTGCTGTGGGTGCCGGTCTGGATGCCGACTCAGAAGAAAACGCTCGGCATCCCTTCGAGAGCGCCCAAGTCCTGCCAAATCCAGATGTCCGAGATCTGGTAAAGGTCGGCGGCAGGAGAGGTTAGGGAAGCGAGGAAAACCACATTTGGTTCCGTATGCCGATTGGTATACATTCAAAGTGACAACAAAGTCATTATTCATTATTCTATCTCTTATCTTACTTGCTACTCTAGTCATAAGGTCTCACTATAACCGTATGTAGCAGCGTGTATGAACACTGAGTATATTGAGCATGTGTTGTGTATCTAATGCGCTCCGAAACTTAATCGAAATAAAGAATGCGGAGATGGCTCAATTCATCAAATACCTACCCAATCTCTCTTCTCTTTTAATTGGGAAATGCAGCCGTCGCCTTGCGAAAGAGGATAGCAAGTCACCTCTTTCTTAACCCATCTCTTTTTTTGGGGTGGGGGGGAAGGGGGAGATGCAAAGCCCGTCTATAAAAAAAATAAAAAAATCCGAGACAGCCACTGCAGTCTGTGTTCTGATGAATTATTGGAAAGAATCCCTTTATGGAGAAGAAAAAAAAAAAAACTAGGAGAAAAGGCTGCTGTTGGACCAGTTTAAAACTAAGCAGGTGCACAAAGCCAATACACCCAGCAACAGAACCAGGCCTCTTCGGGGATTCGGGGGAAATGGTTTCCATTTAATAAGTATTTTCCCCAAGCCCCAGGGCATTTTGCGTTAGGCAGCAATTATTCAAAGCAAACAGGCGTGCAAGGGAGAAAGGGCTCCTATGGGTATTTCGTTTTCTTAGAAGCCGGTCTTTAATAGCTTGAAAATAACAATAAAAGCCCAGGACGGGAAAAGGGTGAGCTCTGAAAACGGGGGGAGGAGGAGGGGGGGCAACTTAAGAGAAACCCGCCACAAAAGCACTTCCACCATTTTCGCAGCGTTCATTTGAGCGGGGACTGGATTTCTTGTGGGTTCCCTTTTTTTGGCCCTCCGTTGGAATAAATTCTTCGGAAGAAGCGGGAAGGGGGGGGGCGGGAGGGGAATACAAGCCCCGATTCCCTCTCTTCTTGCCGGTAGTAAGTCAGAGCTTTTCCGAAGGAAGAGTTGCCGCGTTTGCTTCCCACCCAGCCCAACCCGGCCTATAACGTGCCCAGGTTCTGTCCCCCCTCCAAACTCCGGGGGGGGGGGCTCCGGGAGAGGGAGGGAGGACGGGAGGGGCGCTGCTGGTTCGCTCTCACTTTCGACGCCCCGCGTGCTCCTTCCTGTTGTTAGCAAGTTGACAGGCACTCAGCCTCCCCCCCCTCCCCCGGATCCGGGGAGGAAGACGACGAACGAAAAGGAGAAGCCTTTGCCCTTGACTCGCGCGCTGCCCCCATTGATAAAGTGACTCGTTTGCTCTCTTCTCTTCCCCCCCCCGCAAGAAAGGAGAGGATTAGAATCCAGCCCCGTCCGTTTCCCTCCGCCCCCCCCTCGTTTTCTCCCCTCCTACTCCGCCCCCAAACGAGGGGGCGTGAGGCGTTTTATTGGCTGCCGCTATTAGCGCGCCGTCGAACAAAAGCGGCTCCTTTAATCCCGAGCCTTTAGTGATTTCTTCTCCGTTCGGCCCCCCGATTCCCTACCCCGCCTCTTTTTCGCTCCTCGCCTTTCCGAAAGGTCTCCTTTCCCTCGAGCTCTTGCTTTGCCCGGCCGCTGATTGGGCCGCCGGGTGGGGGGGGGAGAGGGAACGCCCCGCTGCAGCTCGGTCGGCTTGCGCGCCGTCCGAAGCCGGCTCGCCTTCGGGAGCGTCGCCTTGCGGCTGCCACTTTCCGCCCCTCCGCTCGCCTTCTCGCCGCCGCCTCTCGAGCCCCGGCCGTCGCGGCACCTGAGCTCCTGCGACTTCGAAGGGGTTCCCCGGCGAGCCTCGGGAGAGCGCGCCACCCCGGGCGAGGCCCGGCCGTTCCGTGGCTGCCCGTTGCCTGTCTTGGGCTCGCCGTCCCTCGGGCCAGCTCGGGGAGACTGGATTGCTGGGAGAACTGGTATGATCAGCTGAGAGGGGGAGGCGGCGGCGGCCTTGGCTGGAAGGCAGGCGGGGAAGCGGAGCCGGCGAGCGTACGGCTTTACCGGCGGGCGGCTGCTGCTGCTCCTGGAGGCGCCAGACGGTCCCGCGCATCACCATGTCCAAGCCTTCGGACCACATCAAGCGCCCCATGAACGCCTTCATGGTCTGGTCCCGGGGACAGCGTCGGAAGATGGCCCAGGAGAACCCTAAAATGCACAATTCGGAGATTAGTAAGCGCCTCGGGGCCGAGTGGAAGCTGTTGTCCGAGGCCGAGAAACGCCCTTACATAGACGAAGCCAAGAGGCTGCGCGCCCAGCACATGAAGGAGCATCCCGACTACAAGTACCGGCCCCGCCGCAAGCCTAAGAACTTGCTCAAGAAGGACAGGTATGTCTTCCCTTTGCCTTACCTCGGGGATACCGACCCCCTCAAGGTGGCAGGGCTCCCCGTGGCAGCCACAGACTCTCTGCTCGGCTCCCCGGAGAAGGCGAGGGCCTTCCTGCCCCCCACCTCCGCACCCTATTCTTTACTTGACCCCAGCCAGTTCAGCTCCAGCGCCATCCAGAAGATGACCGAGGTGCCCCACACCTTAGCTACCAGCACTCTGCCCTACGCCTCAACCTTGGGATACCAGAATGGGGCTTTTGGCACCTTGAGTTGCCCGAGCCAGCACACCCACACTCACCCGTCGCCAACCAACCCAGGCTACGTGGTGCCTTGTAACTGTACGGCTTGGTCTGCGTCCAGTTTGCAGCCTCCTGTTGCCTACATATTATTCCCGGGCATGACCAAGACTGGAATAGACCCCTATTCTTCAGCGCACGCTACAGCCATGTAACACACAAGCCAAACTCCCACTGGCAGTCCCACACATTGCAGGCGACTGGAATCTGTATGGGGCCAGCAAGACTGGCCAAAGGAAGAAATCGGAAGCTGATCCGTTGTGCATGTAGCATACTGTACTCCAGAAACAAACAATCCGCCTAATCGGAAGCCACTTGAGCGTGGAAAGATGCCCTGGGGAAATCTCTTCCACCCGGGCAAAGACTCTGAGACTCTTGGAGTGGGGTGGTGGGGGACACCAAAACCTTAGAATCCAAAAAACGAACGAACAAACAAACAAAACTCACAGAAAACTTTCTTTCCTTGCTTTCTGCACTTGGGGCTCAGATTTGCCCAAAACTTGTACAATTGTAAATGTGTCAAACTTTTAACTGCCCTTTTGGCTAAAGGTCAACAACGATCCTTTTGATTTTTTTTTTAATTTATTAATGTTAATAAGTTTGTATGACTGAATGTTATTCGGACTTTAATTCTTTAAACCCCAGAAGTACTCTAACCTAATGATACTTTACCTTTTTTTTCCTTTGCACATTAAAATCAAGACTTAGCTGTGTTATATATATATTCTATATATCTATATTTTATCATCCAGCACTAATAGATAACATTGCTTTTCATGTCAGAAAGATTAAACTAACACAACAGCTATTTAGAGTTGTTAAAGGGGGGTTAAAAGTTTTATATTTCAAACATGATATGATAGTATTTGTTTAATTTTAAACAGATAGTCCTTCAATTTGTGTGAATAAGTGCAAGTAGGCCTAAGTTTACTTTAGACAGAATGTCAGCTATGACATCAGACTGTAGTTTTTTTTTAATAAAAAGAGAATAAAAGTAATTTTAAGAAGAATAACATGGTGATAAACTAAATATGGTTTAAAGTGTATTGGGGAGATAATGTATCCAAAAGGATTTTACCTCGTCAGTTCTGTTCATTTGTTGAACAAAAAGGCATTTTGAATAAAGACAATCTGTCGTGCAATTGGTCAACTATGTTGTGTGAATCCCATTCCCATTCCTATGAACTTTCACATAAAAGCTTAATGGACTGCAAGGAAGTTGAGAACTTCCTTTGACTTGCCAAGTTCTTGGGCTTTAGGTCCTGCATAACAGTAGGTCTTCATGAAAGTAAGGAACCGTCAAGAACCTAAAGTAGGATTGGAGAGTTTTGAAATCTGGGCATAATCCACTGGAAAGTTTTCCTGCACAGTTATACTGAATTGAGTCAGCTGGTGCCTGAATCAATGTTAGTGATGGAGAACTTCTGGGTGAATTCTGCTCACCTTGTTAAAATCTGTTTCCTGTGGCACATGTGCTGTGCAAGCATGCACATATATTTGTATGAATACATACATACATGTTTGTGGCCAATTATTTCTAAAGTCAACTTCATTCTTCTTAACCATCTTTTCCTGTATTACAGAAGGGGGCATAGAGGATGAGCCAAAGGTGTGACTAGCTAAAGAGCAATTCTCTATTTTATTCCTTAGTATAAGCCCTTTGAGTATATATTTTCAGCATTGCATGATCCAGGAAATGTAAGATGAGTTCTGCATCTCCACATTTCGTGATCTGCCCTACAGGGATTACACTAAAACACATTCCCTAAGAAAAAATGGGACTTATTTCTGAGTAAATGTGCATAGAATTGTCCCCCTGGGAACCCCAAATATCTCAAGTATATGCACATATCCCCCCAAATCTATCCTATTGTGTGCAGCAGATTCTAAAGTAAGTATCCCCCAAACTACAGCACATTTTTGTGCCAAAGGGGTGTTAGTCCCAGTAAAGCTGATTTACAAGAGGCTGAACCTGCTTTAAAAGCCTGAGAGTTATCTCTAATCAGAGGTAAGTCCCATTAAGTTCAATGAGACTTACCCTTAGGTATCTGTGTACAAAACTGATGACTTAGCAGAAGTGGGGAAGGGGAGTAGAATCATTCGTATTCTCTTTCTTCCTCCCTCCCTCCCTCTCTCTCTCCCCCCCCCCATGGAAAGATTATGTTTTTGAAATGTTTCCAGGACATCAGAAAGTAAAATAATGTATGTTTTTAAAAATAAAGGATACAATATTCCTGAGTCAAATTTGATTCCTGGTGACTCCATGAATCCATCCATGTACAATAGTTTTCATGGTAACTTATGGCCAACAGTATACCATAAAGTGGCCTTTTGTGGGGATAATTTTCTAACTTCCTGGAGCCTGGAGCCCTAAAATTCCTTGTAGTCTCCTTTCAAAGAACTAGGTCAATTGTTTCTACTTAGTTTTCTAGTCCTTACCTGCCAGCCAGATGCTGCTACCAGCGTATTTGTATTTGTTCACAAACTGAAACAGCTGCCAATGTGAGAAACGTTAAAGGTTTCTTGGAAGGTAGAGATTGCTGCAAAGAACGTGAAGTTAGAGGTGAATTTGGTGGCAGGGTAAGCATCACTTTAGCTGCAGCTCTTCTGGACGGGAACACTTCTGTTGTGCAAAATACTTTTTTGATGTTGCATCTTTCAGGATTAGATGCATGCTTAAAAGCTTCCAAGGAAATCATAAGTAATTTTGTTTAATTGGAACTATCTATCAGAGAAGCAGCAGGATTTTTTGTGCTTTAATTTTTCTGATTGGGTCTGCGGCCTTAATTTCCTTCAGTCACAGTTTCTACTCAATGTGGACTAACTTTCCCTAATCCAATATATGCCGGTTGGAACTTGGTTGGCTGACAGGCATTGGAACCACGGATGCTGGGAAACACAGCCCAACTCCCAAAACTGGTCGAGACCTTGGGGAAGCTTAGCTTAGTGACTTTCCTTTCCCTTTTGCAGAGTCTTCTTTTCCTCTTGTCTCCAACATCAAGTCAGAATCCCGCTTTACAACAGCCTTCCACTTGCCTCCCCCATCCTCTCCCTGTTTCAGCTGAGGGTTCCCCAAAATCCCAAATAGGAGGGCGGGAGGGAGAATCTCTGACAGACTCAAGGAGGGAAGCTGGAGCTGGACAGATTAGCATCTTGTCCCAAACAATTAGCGGTGTTTGGCGCTTCTATTCATCAGGTCCCTCTCCTTTATATTACCGAAAGGGTTTTCATTAAAAGGGGGAGGACGAGCGAAGGGAGAGGGTCGCGGTTGTCCATCTGGCTGAGTTGAATAGCGAGGGGGTGATCCGTGTTGTAGATGTTTTTCTCATTAAGTGCTCTTTTGAGACCGCGGTTAGAATTAAATGGCACAACACAATTAACATACACGGCACCTGAATGGCAGGGTAAGCAGGATAAAGAATAGGCAGATAAATAACGGAGCGGTCGGGCGAAGGTAAACAAAAGAACCGAAGAGGGAGGCTTTGAAAAGCGAGGTTAGGATGGCTGGACCACGCTTGTTTAGCATGACAAAAAAAGAAGAAGAAG